ACCCACCCCAGGCATGGGAACAAGCATCAGCAAAACCCATCGGCGCTGCAAGCTTGAGAGGCACCTGTCTCCACACCAAGGAGCATGAGATGAAGCAGGGACCGTGCTGGCATGCTCCCCACCCCAGGTGACAGTGAGCCAAACTCAGCAAGACAGCCATCAAGCCCCAGGTGACCACTTCAGTCTGGGGTGCAGCTCCCGTGCCTGCCTCTGAGTCACCCAGAGGAAGACCCCCAAAAAGGCACATCCCCCTGCCCAGACTTCAAGCAAGAATCACCGCTGGGATTTTGGCTTCTCCCCACCCCACCAAGGCACTCAGCACCTAAATAAGCCCTTGGCTTACCAACATTTTAAGGACAAGGGGGAAACAGAGAGGAAAGTCTTTTTTTTTTGTTTTCCCTTTCTTTGCATGTTTTAATCATTTTGAGGCACAAAATGCATAAAGTATGGTTTGTCTCAGAACAAAGGGATAGCACTGAACAATGCAAACAATTTAGCATCAGGCCAAGTCCTCAGAACTAATAAAGTTTAGTGCTAACAGGTTAAAAGGCTATTCAAGGTATTACAGATACTACACATGGCCAGTTATTTGAAAATATGCTATTAATATTATTGTTTAATATTAATATTATGTGTATTAACAGTAGCATGCAGGTGACATAAAAGGGTATAAGAAAAATTAGGGCAAAACTCACATCTGGGTGTGGAATAGCGTATTGTCCCTGAATTGTATAGGCCTGAAAAAGAAAAAACAGATGTTATTAGGGTTGTCAGGAGGCAGTGGGAAAGCTCCGTGCCTCTCCGCAGGTACTGCTGTCCCTGGGCTTTGCTCCTTTCTGCCTAACGTGGGGTAAATGCTGTGAATGCAGGGGCTAAAGAGGAGCTCAGCCCCCACCCTGCTCTGTTTGGGACCCCATGCTGCCCCCAAATAACTGAGCACAGGGAGCTGAGCATTATGCCACCAGCACACCTCTCCTCTCACCGCTGCTGGTGAAAGTGGGGTGCAGGATCTTGAATTTTGACTTAACTGGCTTAATTTTGAGGCCAAAGAAGATGAGGGAAGCACTTTCTGTGCAGCAGGCAGTTGCCCCATGCAACCCCTGGCTAGCCCAGGGGAAGAACCCCACTTTGCTGAATTAAATTCCTGGGGCAGTGAGTCCTTGGGGCAGGAGGGAGATGTACGCCTCCAATCAAACTTGAAACATGTTGAGCTACCCAACTTCAAGGGCTCGGGCTCAGTTTGGCTTTTCCAAAATGAAGGAAACAGCTCTTTAAAGGTGCCAGAATTGCATGGAGCAGGAATATAAGGTTGTGATTGGGCTTTCCTGTACAAAAGATGTGCATCAAACCAGAATTATCTGTGTAGTGGATGCACGGTAACATCATTGCTGCCCTTCACACCTAAACGTGATCCTGGAAAGCAAGCCAGTGCAGTGAGTCTCTCCATATTTTCAGGTGCACAACTCTCAACGTGCTTTACATCTATCCAGTATATTCCAGTGCTGTGCTGGGGGGGAAAGGCATTGCCGTGCAGAAAGCCAGCTGGTGCTGATGTCTCACCAAGGGCGGAGAGGGCTCAGGGACAGGCTGCCTGCATTGCAATGCCTTTCACCAGCTATAACTGACAAATCCATGCAGATGTCTGTCAGGCAAATTGTTTAGTGTTTTTCCATCATTTGTAGCAATCCTTTCTCTTTTGTAAATAACCTGAAAATAAGCGCCACTGTGGGTAAAGAGTCAGACACTAGAGATCCAATATTTAGGACTCAATACAGCTAGCAAAATGTATCTCACTGGTTGACACATTAGTCACATGATTCTGAAAGAAATGGCAAGAGATGGATAACACTTTAAAAAGGGAGAGTAAAGATAGCCAAGAAAAAGGAAAACAAAACCTCTGAACCTCCTGCAAATTTGCCACATCATTTGCAAACAGCAAAGAGCTTTGTGTGGGGAAACTCCCTGAAATCCTGGAGGAAGGAGGCAAAGCCCTACGCAGTCCCAGTGCCTGATGGCATCCCAGCGTGATGGGGACCAGTGTGCTTGTGGGGATGTGGCAGAGGCCACTCTAAAAAAAAAAACTGGTGGTTTAATTTCGTTGTCAGGTTTTTTATTAGAAAAAGCTAATTAAAGGCAGGAAGGTGTCTTGGACAGATGCAATCCAACTCTGACAGCACCTGCCTGTGTGACCCCTGGCTTTCTGCAGAGACTGACACTGCACATGGATGATGGGGCTGATCCCTTTGGCAATTGCCATCGGCCACTGTGTCCCTCAGCCTGCTGAGCTCCCGTGGGTTCAACCCCACCCCAAGCACCTTGCAGCACCACTGACTGTTACCTACTGTCCTCTGCCCACCCACCCCGTGCCACCCCTCAGGCAGAGCCAAGGGGCTCGCCAGCACTCCCTCGAGGGTGGCAGGGAAGAGCTCTCATTTCAGAGATGGTTGCTGCTTCCCGCAATGTCACTTCTGTGCAAGACACCAACCATTTGCCAGCAGGAGAAATGCTACCTCTGTCTTACTCTCCCTTTTGAGAAGATAAGTTCACCAAGCAGCTGGACTCAAAGCTCTTTTCCAGGACAGCTGCTCAGACCAAACGACACACTCCTCCTGATGCTGCCAATGACTAAGAGATGCTAATTCAGCATGTTGCCTGAAATAGCTTGTGCTTTGGGCTTTGCTCGCATCCTTAGTTTGTCCTTCTGCTATTTTTTATGGTTGGGGAGAAATGAAACAACTCATGTGGAGATGCTCTGGATGGCATTAGCTGTAGCTTTGTGGTGCTGGCTCTACCTGGCTGCTGGAGCTCCTGGGAAAGTACCTCTCCTGCTTGACACTGGTGCACCATGGCATGGCAGCATCTACAGGCAGGTCCTCAGTCAGCTGGTGAGGTGAGCAGAAGAGGTGGAAAAAGCAAGGGTTCAAGTCCCCTCTTTAAAAGCAGCCACCTGCTCAACTGCTCTTATTTCATAAACTACGTGCTGCAGGAGCTGATTTTTGTTTGTAGAAGAACTGCCAGCTCCTGTGGCATGTGTGTGCAATAGTTATCTTGCAAAGAAAAAATCTGCTGTCGCTTCCCAAGGGTCGCTAGAAATACCACATCATGACTGCAAGGCTGCAGACCAACCACTGTGCAATGTCACCAAAGGCAATGCAGTGCAGGCTCTCCTGCGGGCAGAGCTGAGAGCCAGATTTGCAGCAGAGGTTACAGGAGTTTCAGGGGAAGTAGCACCCCAAACAACCTGAGCACCAGTGACTGGGACATGACTCCTTCATTGAGGCTGCCCTGAACAGAGGCTCAGCACAGTCCTGGAGTGGCTAGGATGAGCCCTTCCATCTCAGATCAATTACTATTGATTACTTAGCTATTCAAAGTTATTTCTAATTGGACCAGAGATGTCAGAAAATAAACACTTGTGACTGCTGTGAGAGCATGATCACGGCCTCTTGTTTAGTGAAGCTTTTCTCCTTTTCTCCTTCACACTGGTAAAAGTCGGGGGCAAATACTGAATTTGGGTCTAATGAAGCAAACTCCAGCCTTTTCTTGGTGTGCGAGTGCCCGGCAGAGCTAACACCCTGTTTCCTCAGGCTGGCCCTTTCCTTGTCCTCCAGCAGCTATCACAGGAGCTAAGCCGTCTGCCCAGGCTTGCAAACTGCCAGCAGTTCTGCAAAGAGCTTTCAGTCCACCTGCCATGGCACGCAACAGATGGGATGACACCATGCAAGTCAGAAGGCAAGAAACCTGAGTGCACTAACGGGCAGCGGCTGGTGCTGCAGTAAAAGGCTGAGGTTGGCAGTGGAGGCTGCAAGCGGGTCGGCTCTTACCTGACCACCTGCAAAAATGACAGGGGTGGAGGCGGGCTTTGGGCGGTAGGGAATGGTGGCACCTTTTGGTGGGGACTAGGAAAAGGGACAAGGAGAGGGAGAGAGAACATTAGAACAGCTTTCCTGAAACGGCGGCAAAAAGAGCGTTAGAAAGCACCCGACGGAGCACAGCCCCCAGGGCCGCTGCCAGCAACACCCACACCAGGCAAAGCACGTTTCTGGACAGGAGGACACAGGGGAAATTGGTGTTTAATGGACAGCAAGGACAACCTGGGCTACAAGAGATCCCCTGCCAAGGCACGTGCCCCTGAATCACTTCCTGGACCTCCACTGCCTCCTTTGCCTTTGCTCCATTCTCCACAAACTGCGTCAGCTGTTGTAGACTCAAGCCTGAAGCTGGACGCAGCACCCTCCTTAAAACACTCCAAGGAGACCCTCAAGGTGCAGCGTGATGGTGAGGTACACCCACAGATCAGGCTTTTCATCCCTAGATGCCATGAGCTTCCTCATACGGTGGCTTTCTTTGCAGCCTGAGAGGTCTTGCATGTCGACAGCCCGCCCTGGAGTCATACCAGCCCTGCCGAGCACCAGGAGCTGCAGCATGGCATCGTGGGCACAGGCATCAGGAGTAAGCAGCCCATTTGAGTGGCCTGGCACGATGCTTAAGCTTTTTGATCCCTCTTATCTTCCCCACTGCTGGAACAGGGTCACCTTCAGGACTTGGTTTGGTCTATCGTCATCCAAGCTGGGATGTGGGTGGCTGTGCGGCAGATGCTTCAAGGCACTGTCATTGTGGTCACGAACTTCCTGGTGGGACAAGTGGCAGCGATCACTTTAGCCAGCATGCTGAGCTCTGGAGGAGCCAGAGGCTGGAAACCCCTCTCAGATGGCAACACCAGTGTTTCCAGAGATCTTATCCTAGAGCTGCACGGTGGTAGCAGTTCATGTGAGCAGACAGACAGACACCAGCAGCAGAGGCACTGACCATATGCACTCCCAGCCCTCTTCCTGCAGCAGCATGACCCAGGGCAGCCCTGCTCCAGCTGGCCAGGACAACTTGCTCCTCCCTGCTGTAGCCTGATGGTCCCTGGCTAGGTCCAAGTAGAAGCTGTAGTGATGCACATCAAGCTGTAGTGATAAATCCCACTGCACAGTGCATGGGATCTTCTCACTTGAGTTTTCTCTGTTGGTTTTCTCTTGAACATAACCAAGAGGACATAGAAGAGATTATGGAGGTTTCTAGGGATCAGGAGAGATTTCAGATAAAAGCCTCCTGGTTCTATGCGAAGTGAAATGACCCAGTTACTCCGATGTACAGATAGGCAACATAAATTACGCTATCTCATGGAAAATTCTTAATTTTTTTCTGTACATTCTTCTAGACGTCTACTTGTAGCCAAGTGGCATATCCAAATCTGCCTGCTAAGCACAGGTCTGCAGGAAAGCTGTATGATCAAAGCACAACCTCTGTAATCACAAACCTGTTTTTTCTTCTATTGCATTACAAGTCTTGGAGGGGATGAGCAAGGATTAAGACTGAAAGGTTGTAAGGACCATCTCTGTAAACTGTTAAAGTCAGGGGACTTCCCAGATTTCAGACTTCTTTCCCATTGCTGAGCCGTACAGAGGAGCAGCACCCCTTGCTTTGGCCAGTGAGAACACCAGCCACAGAAGACTTTATAACACATCTGCAAGCATCACTTGGGGCCCATCTCTGCCGCAGTCCAGAGCATAACCTAGAGTCACTGTGTGGCTAAAACTGCACTCCTCTGGCCACACAGTGCACCCACCTGCCTGAGCATCAGTACCAGCAGTGGTGGGTAACGTGGCTTGTGGCAATTCCTCCTTAGCTGTGCTGCTGCCAAACTGAAGTTGCTTACATTTGCTTTTGCTTCACCTCCACCAAGCCTTGCTGTCCTCATCTGAAGCTCCTGCAGTGGCAAATGTGCTCCTCCCTGCCATGAAAGGGCAGTGATGCGTGGGCTGTGCAGCATGACATTGGACCATGCTGGTCTGCCTCTGGGAGGCATCAGGAGTGGAGGGTGGCACTGTCCTTTGTCTTAAGGGGTTTCATCCTGGAGCTTCTCCCATCTGAGGTGGCATGTGTGGAGGTTGGGTATGTGGCTGTGATCATACCTGGCAATAAGCCATTGCTACAGCAGCATATCTCCATGGCAGCTTCAAGCTCTAGTCATCAGTATTTCTCCCAGTAAATGGCACCCTGGACACATGCACCCTATGGGCCCTGCACTCCATCAGCCCTCCTCACTACCTTTCCTGCTGTGCCTCACTGGAGCCTGGCTTTGCACTCCAAGTCCCAGCTCCCCCAGCACAGGGGATGCACTGGCCTTCTCCTCCAAGCCATGGTCCTCATGGGGCAGTGCGAGCCCCATGCAGAGGAGGCCAGACACTTGGTGGAGTGGCTGCAGTCCCTGTCCCCTTCCCACAGCACCCTAGGTGCTGCTGGGACACCAGGCTACAGCTGTCCAGCCCACTTGGCATACTCCAGCACCCCTCTCTCCCAAAGCCACCCTATGCTACAACACAAACCATCACCTTTGGGGCACCTAACCAGGCAGGTTTCCAGTGTGGGACTCTAGAAACAAGGGACAATGGTGGGGAAAACACACTGGGTGGGTTTCAAACAGAGGTACCAGGAAATGAGAGTGGTCCAACAACGCATAGTGAAGGGTACAAGAGACACGCTCCACAGCTCCCAGAGCTGTTGTGGTGCCAGCTGGTATTTTTTCCTATGTACTTTACCCCCTTTGTTACAGACTGTACCTCCAGCATCACCACACAGATCTGTTTGACACACTGGATAATTGCGTCGGGCGTCCCTGAGATTGTCACCGCCCGCTCTGTGGAGTTGGGCAGCATGTCCCCCGCCACTTGAACCTGAGCACCTGTTGACTGGAGACAGAAAGAGAAAGGAGGAGAAATCCCACAGCTGAATGCCTTTCCTTGCAGCCAGCTCCAGCTCTGACACCACGCGCCTCCCGAGAGCTCATTGCTCTGCACAAGCTCAGATGTGGCACGCTGACTGCATCCGCAGGAGCACGCCTGCAAAGTCCCACGGGATGCTGCTCCTATGTCAGCAGGACCATCCTGGGAAGCAATGTGGTGCATTATGCAGCATAAGGATTCACCTTTCCAAGGCAGCTCCCCCTTGATCACAGATCTGCTCCGAGGAGCTGTGATTACATGTAACAATGAAATCAAGTTTGACTTACCTCCCTGATTTCCTTGATCTTGGAGCCTCCTTTGCCAATCAGTGAGCCGCACTGACTAGCCGGCACGACCAGCCTCAGCGTCACCGGAGGTTTGCTGGTGGCAGTGCTGTTGCTCATTGAGTTGGTTATGTCCTTGGGAAGGAACAGCGCAACACATCAGCCCTTGGTACCCAACAAAATGCTTGCCATCTGGGCCAGACCAAATGCCCTGGGCCAGAAGAAGAGGGGTCATGTCCCCCAGACTGTGGCTGGTCTCTCTCTGCAGCTGCATCAATGCTCATGCCTGCAGTTAATTAACTGCGAGACCTCTGGGACAGTTTACTGAAGCCCAGTTCTTGCCTAGTTAGAGATGTCTGGAAGGTTTTGTGCCGAGGCAGTGTACTGGTTAAGCAAGTCCAGCAAGGCACGCATAGGTTGGAGGTACCCAGGCCCATCTGCACTGCTGGCCCCGGCAGTGGGCATGCCGGAGGTCTGCTTGGCTGGTGGGCCACCCAAGGGTCTGGATGCAGACCCTTTTACTCTGCCCTCCTGGGGGAAAGGGTTCACATTGCTCACCTCCTCAAATTTGTAGGCAATCATGGCGAAAGCCTTGAAGATGGCATCGGTGGGGCCAGTGATGGTCACAATTCGCTCGGGGCAGTTCCCCTCAGAGATGTTGATCCTTGCTCCACTCTGGTAAGAGAAAGGCAGCCCTGGAATAGCCACAGCCAAGCAAGCCATGCAGATGTACTGGAGGCACAGCCCTTCCTCTGGGTCAGGTCCTGTCCCAGCCCGGTCCCTTGTCATCCTCTGTGCCAGCCTCTCGACATCCCATCTAACCTTAAAAACTCCCATCCCTGCCTCCCGTGGTGCTTCCAGCGCTGCCTTACCCCGACCCTCAGAAAGGATTTTCAAGCATCCACTTGCAATGCAAACCCAAGCAATCAAGGAAAGACCAGCTCGTGGTATCACTGCTTGTAAGAACAGTGTTGCTTACTGATCTGATAACTCCTTGGTAGCTGCAGGCACAAAGACCTTGGACAAACTCAAGCATCTTATGAGTGACTTAATTTCAGTGTTTCATTAAAAGCAAATTCTTGGCTCTGGAAATTTCCCATTGAATGTGATAGGAGTTTGTTTGAGTACGGAGTGAGAAAACTGGACCAAAGAGCTCGCTTGCATGTCCTGACCCTGGGAGTTACCGCACATACTACACAGGGCCCTGTGCATCTCTGGCCGCTGTGCTGCACACTGCTGGGCAGGACAGCATGACAGCCCTTCCCACTCCTCTCCCCTCCTCCTCCAAATCCTTCTACAGAGCAGGATTGCTCACCTCCTCACGCATCTTCTTCACCGTCTCTCCTTTCTGAAATAAGAAGCAGAAACACAGGCTATTACTAAAAATTCGGTACTTCCAGCTTTAAAACAACCCTTCCAAACATGCATCTCTCTAATAGGTGGCAACTCATAGCCAGACATTTGGGCAGCTCTGTGATGCCTGGCCCTCCATCCCCACACAATGGTCAGCTGAAAAGCTGAGGGTGTAAGCCATCTTAGCCCTTCTCCCCGTGTCTGTACAACATGACAGACAAAACAGCTACTAACACACAAGTGCAGTCTCCACTTCCCTTTCTACATTTCCCATTAAGAGGAAAACCGCACGGAAAAAGCTCAGAAACTGGTATGATGCTGAGAAAAGCTAGCACTTCAGAGTGGCTTCAAAAAGCAGTTTCTGATCTAGTATCTACAGAGAGATATAAAGCAGGTATAACTGTGAATCTTTCCAGGGCTGGACAAGCTGATGGAAAAATAAGACACAAGCATATAGGGCAAAGATGCTCATGCTGCAAATCATTGCCACCATACACCTGCCTTTTAAAAACACCAAAAAAACAATCCTGTATAGCCAGGGCTTTCCAAACCACTGTGGCAAGCACCAGGGAGCAATGAAGTTTTTCTGCACAAGGTAAATGGTGCTCTGTGGCCTCAGAGGGCAGTTCTGCAGAATTTAAACAGGTTTGCATGACTTTTCTCAATCTCTCTTAATGATTCCATTTAATTGACACATCAGGGCAACAGGATCATAAATATCCATTTGTCATTGCAATGAAGCAGCTGGAAACAGCACTAGGTAAGTTTGATGGTGTTTGGGTTTTTTTTTTTAGAGGAATGATCTTTGATCCCTGTGTGGGGCTCCCATCATTTCTGTCTCACAAACCCAGCGACAAGCTCATGCACAACGAACATTTAAGGGATGTTCCAGGGAAGAGGTGACTGGGATCTTCCACACCACAGGCAGCAAATCGTGCAGGCAATAGCATTAAACACACGTTTAAAAGACATCCTTACCTTTCCAATGATGCTTCCAACTTCCTACAAAAAAAAAAAAAAAAAAAAAAGCACCAAACACAGAGGAATTGCTGTTACAAAACATGAAGACAATCCAGCCCAATCCCATTGAAGAAGCAAAGACCTGGTGCAATCTGTCCCCAGCAGAAGGACAGGTGGGGGTCAGACATGACAG